TTAAGAGGAGGGGCAAATAATTTTTCACGTAGGGCCAGGTAGGTTTGGACAGCTTTTTTCCCTTAATAAATGAAATTATCATTTAAAAACTGCATTTTGTATTTACTTGCATTATCTTTGCGTAATATTAAAATTGGTTTGATGATCTGAATCTTTTAAGTGTGACAAATATGCAAAAAATTAAAAAAAACAGGAAGGGGGCAAAAACCTTTTCACGGCACTGTATAACGAGTGATTGCTTAGTCATGTACTGTTAATGAATTATGAAAATGTTTACTTTATGGTGTTTACATTGTAATGGGTGGTGATGTTGTAAAAGTGCATATTTTATCTCCCTCATCTTTTTGAAAGACCAGCTAGAAGTAATAAAACATACACATTTCAAAATAAGAGTCCTGATGTATTTTGGGCCTGGTTATAATTTAAAGGGTTTCACAATAAACTACTGTATCTTGCATTTAGTTCCAGCCTGACTATTTATGTATTTTTCTGTTTCAGGTAGTGCAGTATATAACTTGTATGCAGTGTCCAATCACTCAGGCACAACTATGGGAGGCCACTACACAGCGTACTGTTGCAATCCTGAAAATGGGGAATGGTACACGTATAACGACTCTAGGTACTTGCTTTACTTCCCCTCCTGCTCTTTCTTTCCTTTTGCATGACTGTGTAGAGAGTACCAGTAGATTTCCCAAAGGTATATAGCGTACATTCGCTTTCAGGGAAGTGATCCTGACAGTTAACATGTCAGCAGAGCTCCATTCCACCTGCTAGCTGCTGTGATTTTCCTGTATCCCATCCTCCACCTCCTACCTCATTCATGCTCCTTCACCTCCCTCCCACCCACGCTTCCTTAAAAATGCTTTCTGTCTCACATCTTCAACGCTGCTAATCTCACACACACATTCTTCTTTATACTATATTGGCTGAACAATTTGATGATATTTCACCATTTTAATTGTTATATTAATGTAATACTATTTATTACAAATTATATTAAAAGTATCAAAATTTGAGTTTGTTGAATAGAAAATTAGCAGAATTTCTTAGTATTCTCCAGCATGATTTGAGAATGATCAAAAGAGCATCTTGAGCTTCATGAACACCTGACCATCTGCCCCTAGAAATGCAGAATTCTTAATTTTTTCTTATTCATTCTTTTTTTATCATGTTACATTTTTTTAAATGTTAAAACTATATTTTCAGTTAGATTTTTAATCCCAGATTTGATTGTCAACAAATTATGAGTGTGGATTTCTTCTTCCAGAGTCACGCCAATGTCCGCCAGCCAAGTTCGCAGTAGTGACGCCTATGTGTTGTTCTACGAGCGGGCGGGACTCTGAAGACGGACTGTGGACAGAGATAAAGTGCAGGACTCGAAGCCTTTGGGCTGAAGACACATTACACACTATGCTGCTTCCTCTGAGCCGTAATGCAGGATGAACATCGCTCTCTGCTGGCCACCGGGAGAAGCGCACACAATGCCCTCTCACACTCCACTGTGTTAAAGAGGTCCTCGGAGATGGTCCTCACTGCAGAACACAAGATCCAGGGGGCGTGGTTGGATC